GATGCCGGTATGGAGTACAGGCCACGCTCACAAGGGCCCTTGAAAAGGACTTGATTGGTTAGGTTGTCCCGAATCGTAAAATCCTTAGAGGTAAAAAGAAGAGAGCAGTTATTATCTTTAGTAAATTGGTGAACAGAAAGGAGATGGGAATTAATGTGAGGAGAATGAAGGAGATTGGATAGGTGAAAATTATGATGGGGTGTGGTTAATATACCTGAGCCTGTATGATCAATAGGATAGGTGTTACCTCCCGCAGTTGTGATGGAGTTGGTGCCATGATATGGTGACATAGAATTCAGCCGAGATAGATCAGACGTCACATGAGTGTTTGCGCCAGTGTCCAGGTGCCAGTTCGAACCAGACTCAGCGGATTGATTTGCATAATATGCCTGCGGTGGACCAGTGTATGATTCGTCGTAGCGGTGCCAACAATTCCAGACCGCATGGCCAGGTTTCCCACACAACTGGCAGGTAACGGACACCCCTCGGCCACCTCCTCTGCCGCGGGTGTCGTCACGGTACTGCGGCTGCCGTCCTCCTCTGCCGCCGGGTTGACTGCCGCGGTAAGGCCCTCCTCGGCCTCGCGGTGGTCCTCGGCCATGACCTCTACCATTGCCTCGTCCGGAATTAGTGAAAAGAGCATTATGAATGTCAACAGACGAAGTAGAGCCGGAGTCACTCAGAGATAACTTCTTCTCAAAAGATAAGTTCAATTCTTCGGACAGCAACCAAGAGGAGACCTGATTAAATGTGACAGTGGCAATATTGGTGCGAATATTTTGCTTGAGGGAGGCATAGTCAGCCGGTAGACCACGAAGAACACAGAGAATAACATTTTGTTCAGAAATTTCTTCATGAGCCAGTTTGAGAGACGACACAATCGTGAGAACAGTGTCCAAATAAGATTGCATCGAATCGGTCCCTTTTGTAACACCATGTAATCGCTCCTTCAGTTGAAAAATATGAGTTCGGGAAAGAGAATTGTACCGTTGTTCTAGATGATTCCAGATTGCAGCCGAGGTGGGAAGAGCATGAATATGTGTTTGAACCGTGGGTGAGACAATAGCAAGGAGACAGGCCCGAATCTGAGCATCNACACAGAGAATAACATCTTGTTCAGAAATTTCTTCATGAGCCAGTTTGAGAGACGACACAATCGTGAGAACAGTGTCCAAATAAGATTGCATCGAATCGGTCCCTTTTGTAACACCATGTAATCGCTCCTTCAGTTGAAAAATATGAGTTCGGGAAAGAGAATTGTACCGTTGTTCTAGATGATTCCAGATTGCAGCCGAGGTGGGAAGAGCATGAATATGTGTTTGAACCGTGGGTGAGACAATAGCAAGGAGACAGGCCCGAATCTGAGCATCAATAATACTCCAGGATTCATAGGCCGGATTTGGTTTCATGACCGGCGGTTGATCCTTGCCGGGTGCCGCAGCCTTTTCATCAAGGACAAAAGACGGAAGAGACGATTCAGACCCATCCACGTAGCCGAGAAGACGATGAGCGAGGAGATTGGCACGGACGGTAGCCGACCAAGAGGGATAATTGGTGTCATCAAGCTTGACCGAGGTTAGGGATTGGAGATTCCGGACAAACAACTTGAGCCCTGTAGGAAGACGATCCATAGGATCAGACGAGGTAGAAGCCATGGCTGTGCACGGCGTGATCGGCAGTGGAGAGATCGGCTCTGCCGATTTTTTTTCCGGTGATTAGCGCAGGAAAGGAAGAGAGGGGTTAGGATCGTTGTGCTCTGATACCATGTTGATTTAGTAATCCAACTCAACTGAATAATTGTATACATGGGTGTTTATATAGGTGAGAATCCCTACATGAATTAGGATTCACCAAATATGGAAACTAACATAAATAACAATTCTACCATAACTACACTTCTTGCCATATATGCCTAACAATAATGATTAAGCTCGATCTTAGAATAAGAGGTTTATAGATTGTAGCTATGAGTTGCTCACGAGGAACCTAAGTGGGAAAATACGAGGGCTAGGAGTGTAGCTTTTAAATGTCTTTATAAGAACTTTGAGGAGTAGAGCAATGAAAGAAATTGTTCCATCTAGCCAAGGCGCGTGATAAGAGGGTGTGGGACCTAGAGCATATATATCAGATGTGTGAAGGACATCGATGTCGAAGTTAATTAGAGGCAGTAGCGTCAACCTATGAAGACACCATTCTTGGCCGGTGACAAGAGAGACTTCGTTAAAGTGTTCATTGACTTACTTGGGGTAGGTCATATCAAGGAGGTCATTTACCCTTAATGGTTGGCCAACGTGGTACGGCCACCGAATGGGGTTATTTAGAGAATGTGTGTGGGCTATGCCAAGGTTTTGGAAGGCGAAAACTAGCCTCGAGGCGAAGGAGCAAAATGCCTTGAGACGTAAGCCTCGAGGCGGAACGAGGCGTAAGCCTCAGTTCAATATGAAAAAAATAATACTAAAATATGTACACTGAGGTAAAACAAAATGCATAATCCATTTTCATGTTAAATAAATGATAAAATCATAATTCTTGAATTTTACAAAACATGATACCCTATCTTAATTTTTAAAACACAAAAAATAGAATTATAAAGATTAAACACAGTAACATAAACACAAATGTCTCAAACCCATCTTCAAACCTTATAAATATTAAATATGGACAAAAGTTCACGCAAAAAAAGTTAACCGAATTTAAAAGAGGGAGAGGGATGTTAGAAAAGAAGGAACCAAAAAAATTCAAAGTTGAAAGAAGAAGATGAATGAAATAGAAGATAAGCTGTTAAATATGAAGTAATTTCCTTAGCGGTTACCACAAGAGTGAAGTTGTGTCACTGAAGTCTGAAGGTGGAGAGAAGTACGGTTGAAGATGGAGAGACGAAAGTTGACGCTAAAAGTCTTGAAAAGAAGTGATAATTATCTACTAGGTTTATTAAGTTTTTCTTAAGAAACTTTATAGTGCATTGGCCCAAAAGAGTTTTTGTAAAAGAGGCCTAATAGCTTTTAAAAAATAACCCTTATAATTGTTGAAATTCTTACCGCCTCAACATTGTGAGGCGTACGCCTCATGTATCACTGTTAAGCCTCAGAGGTGAAATGCAACCGCCTTACCGCCTCGAGGCAGAGTGGCAGACTGCCTCGGTCGCCTTTTAAAACCATGGGCTATGCAGAGTGTTAAAAATGACAACAACAAAATTTGAACGCTAAACATTTTAAATATGAATTAATTAAGTTACGATGTAGTCCGTAGAATATACTCATATTCTTCTTTTTTTCTTTTTAATTAATTGAATTATTTTTTGATAAAAAATTCATTACTCTTTTGTCATTTCTAATTGTCTTTAAAAACTTGCGGGGTGCTAGCCCTAGATTTTTGAATTATTCATGCCCATATTAAGGGCATGCTCTCTTCAGCTTATTTTTTCTACTTATTACTTATTTGAATGGGACAGATGAATTCAGATCAGATCAGCTTTAAATTGCACTACATTCAAATAAAATCAGATAAGTTCAGATCAGGGTAAATCAAATTTCAGATTAGAGCCAACTAGAGAAAACATAGCCTAACCAATGGTAGTTCTCCCAATAATGCTTCGCTCTAGATCTATCACTATTTGTGTATCACTCTATACCGTATATTTAAGTGATTTAGTTGTTGAGTTATATTAATAAGTTGGATCATTATTGACCCTTAAATGTGAAATATCTATCTTACGGAGGTAATTTCCAAGTCCTCAAAATCACTGTGGCCATGAAATCAATCAATCAACAAGTATGTATGACAATAGGGACCAACCTCAAACCTTTTGGAATGATAGCCAACTGAAAATGTGGCAGTCACAATTACCACGATTCCCAAAACAAAGCTCTGCATGCATGCATACACACATGAATCATCAAATCCCCAGGATATTCCAAGAAGATGAAATAATCATATCCAACAATATAATTAACATTTCTGATAAAGTTATTTTTATGACTAGCTTGTGATTATGTTTATAAAATTGTCAATTTTGTCATGGACAATCTACCCAAAAGTTGTTTCAATTTGCCTTATAATCTCATGTTGACCCTCATATACATTCCACAAGTGATGATTTATTGATTAATTATATATTTTTAAAATAATACTCCCTCTGTCCCAAAAAGTTTGTTACGTTTAGAAAAAACTGCGTCCCGTAAAGTCCGTTACATTTTTATTTAAAAACCACTTTTACCCCTTACTTTTTCATACCCTACCTATCACATCATACCTTTTTTCTAATAATCTACCCATCACATCCTACTTTTACCCATCACATCAAGGGTATTTTTGGAAAGTCAATACCAAAATATCTCTCCCTTAATTTCCCAAAAAGTCAAACCGTCCTATTCTTTTTGAAACGGAGGGAGTACAAAACAATTAATAACTTTGGCCATCACTCTCACATAAAAATAATTATATTAAACTCCATATTATATAGCGAGTGACTTTTTTTAATACTATTAACTCTATTACAATGAAGTATCTATTCTACACAATAATGTACTTGCTCAACCTACTGAAAAACAAAGAGTCAATATTTCTTCACTGGAGTTCGAACTTGTGAGCTCCTATTTGGAAGAATCACATTGATGCCACTAGACCACAAGGCCTTTGGCAGCGAGTGTCGAGTGATCAATCCAACGCAAACAAAATAACTAAATCATACAAGTTAATTGTTATGCGATATGCGTAGAAGAGTGACACATGATAAATAAAATTGCCAAAATTTAAAAACACGAGACTACTTTTTCCAAACTATACTTATGCCGAGAGCATCTTTTTGGAAGACCAAATTTATAATTTTGCTTGTCTTTCTATTTTTAGTTAATTTTAGTTATTATTTTTCACATCTTTAAGTTTTTTTCCAATTCCTTTCAATGGTTTTTCAACTTCATCCATTTTCTATCTACTCCTCCTAGTTTCATCCAACATCCTAAAAGAATAATTTCTTAATTTTCACTAAACTTATTAGGGTTTAGTAATTACTTATAAAAGGATGACATGATATATATAGGGTTGAAATATTACTGCGATGGTGACAATATCTATTTTGGAAGTGTGAGATCCTCCCATTAGGATGCACTTTTCTCCCGGCTCACTGCATGCAAACATTATAAAATTATCAATCAAATAATCGAGATACAACTGATTGTTTATCTAAATTCCTTCTTTCTCCCACTATTTCTTATTTCATCAATTCTTTAGTTAGGCAAAAAATTTCTTCTCATGTACTTTCACTTGGAAAATTATGATAGTAGTTTACACAGTTTCTTTTAATTCTAAACAAATACTCCATCCGTCTCAAATTCATATTAAAATTAAAAAAAAATAAAATTGTACTGTTAGGTTATGTAAAAGAGAGATCGATATAAATCACACAAAAAAAACTTCATAAAAGGAATGAACATCATCATTTCCAGTGTCCAAAGGAAAAAATTGATCACATACACAGGAGACAAGGAGGTGAGATTGTGAGAATTAAGGGTTTCTGTTCTAGAACAAAAGCTGCAAGCACGTCTTTTGAGAAGGTGTTGAAGGTGTATTAGCCACAAGGTAAGCTCAAATAGGGTTTGAGTTAAAAGCTATTCAAATAGGATTTTGTCAATCACATTAGGATAAGCTTCTTAATGTAATGACCGGTGTAAACTTCAAAAGTATGAAGGCTACTACACTAATGTGAGCCCCATAGATTAGAAGAATTTCTCGGAATTACGTAAACATATCTATTCACATTGTTTACTGTTTTTGGAATATTAACTGTGTGATTATGTATGACAAAGAAAATGATATAGCACCCTACCTATCATCCTTAGTCATCTCACATGATCGATTATTGATTGATCTTTAATCGCATGTGAGAAGTCGTTTTAATTTTGATATCCTTGCTGCACTCTGGATATTTCAATTTGTATGAGAGAGGTTAAACTCAATTTACTAGCTTGATCCAGTATATTATTGATATGGAAGGAGTCAAAATTTAACGACCACCTCTTCTACGTGGTCACAACTGCTTTTGGAAAGGTCACATGAGAGTTTGGACTTTGGAGAAGTATAATAGTAGGTTGGAGTAAACCAATTCACTGAAGAGAACACGGTTAGTTCTTCAAATTTTATAAAGCCTTATGAAGTATAGTCTAAATCCAAATAGGCTGCAATAGAAACTAATGACAAAGAAATCGATGCTATTTTTGGAGGAGTAGATGGTACAGAATATAGACTTGTATCAAACTGTGTTGTCGCTAAACAAACATGAAACATTCTTCAAACTACCCATGAAGGAGATAACAAGGATAAATTCTAGATGAGAAGCTCACCCAGGTTCAAAATCCAGCGGAAGCGTTGACTCTCCGTGCTTCATTTACGAAACTATGTATGAACAACTACACTGTTATAGAGTCAATAGTGGTATAAAAAGGAGAGATCAATATTTTCTTTATCATTTGAATTCCACGAATCATATCATAATAATATTATTCCTTCTATATGAATTAATAGTCTTCATTTCTTTTTAAACGTCTAAAAAAAATAATCCTCTTTCGATTTTTGGAAATGTTTTTGTACCTCATATTTTGTTCTCTTTTACATTACTTTCAATCACACAACTTTGCTTGTTATGACAGACGCGAGAAAGTATGAACACGAACAATCGACAATCACAAAAAAGACAGATATTTAACGTGGTTTACTAACAACCTGTTAGTACCTCCACGGACAGAAGAAGAAAAATTTTATTGATCAGTATTTTCTCACCAGATTACAGACTCTCTCTACCATGAATTGAAGAGTACAAATTAAATACAAGCTATATATATAGGGAAATAGATATGGGTAACCCTAATCCTACTACATATATAAAAATGAGAATATGAGAGATAATCTCAATCTTATTCTTAGTCGTAACCCTGATAGGTCTAGAATACATTTTAACATTGCTTCTAAAGCAAATGTTGACTATTATTCGCGGCGAGTCCTATGACACAAGAGGCCCCGTGCGATTTGGAAAATTTAGACCCTAATTTTGGGTAGCAATAATAATAATATACGTAGCAAAATATCAAAAGAAAGATATAATATGGACTATAATTTTTTCATAATGAAAGCAATACTATACGAAGCATTAAATATTAAATCTAAATCCTTTCAAGTCATTTTACATCAAACCAAATTTTTAAATTTAAATCATTTTTTCAAATTTATAATAAAGGAAACACAACAATTTTCTAGGGATTACTTTAAAACCTAAATATAACCCTAAATAAAAAATCAAAGTAGATATTTTTATCATTATCTGATAGAATTTAGGATATGTATGGACAACTCGATTGGGCAATAAGACACTTGGACTGAACCACACATTAAAAGATTGAATCCAATCGATTAGTTAGTTTAACTCAAGGGCTTATATGCCGGTTTATTTTCTCTTCAAGTTCCGATGTGAGATACTCTTTTAACACTCCCCCTCAAGTGGACAACCGAGCCATTTTGAATCTAACCGGTTGACCACTTGCAAATGGACTCACATCCCCTTGATTTTTTTTAGCGCCAACCTAAAGGACCACGAGCCGCTGGGTATAGACTTCCAGACGAGCAATCGTGTTAAACGGGCCACAGGCCGTTGAGTACATACTCCATACGGACAACTGGGCTAAAGACTAACGGGCCGCTAGAAATGAACGTCTAGACGGACACCTTGACAAACAATGTGGGCTAAAACTGGCTCCGATACCATGATAGAATTTAGGATGAGTATGGACAACTCGATTGGGCAATAAGACATTTAGGCTGAACCACACATTAAAAGATTGAATCCAATCGATTAGTTAGTTTAACTCAAGGGCTTATATGCCGGTTTATTTTCTCTTCAAGTTCCGATGTGGGATACTCTTTTAGCATTACCTTTAAAATTAAGTAAACATACTCCTTCCATCCCAAAAAGCTTTGCACAGTTTGTCTTTTTTGGTCAAACTATGTAGCATTTTGGTCATAAATTAAATATATTTTAAAATAATTAAATGTTTAAAAATTTGATAGATCAAAAATATATTTTAAAATGAACTCAATTTACTATATATACTCCCTCCGTCCCATAAAGATGGATACGTTTTGACTAAAGTAGAAATTAAGGAAGAGATAATTTTGTGTTGACTTTCCAAAAATACCCTTGATGTGATGGGTAAAAGTATGATGTGATGTGTAGATTTTTAAGAAAAAAGGTATGATGTGATAGATAGGGTTTGGAAAAATAAGGGGTAAAAGTGGGTTTTTAATAGAAATGGATAAGGGATTGTGAGACGCAATTTTTATGAAACGTGTAAATCTTTTTGGGACGGATGAAGTACATTATAACTAAATACACTTTTTTCACAATTTATGGTCAAAGCATTATACCAAAAAAGTATCAAGTCGTGCTACTCTTTTTGGGACTGGAAATAGTTAATATGAATGGAGCGACCTAAATTACCCAAATGTTTTGTATTGTAGTTCAGTATTTGGTTATATGGAGTACTAAAATAGAAAAACTGCATAGGAGATAAAGTGATGAGTGCTCATCAGAAGATTGGCAAAGCAGCAGAGAGTATTGAATCCCTAATTTTTACTATTTCAAGACTAAAAGATCAAGATTAGAAAACCAAAGATTAAAGACGATTAGAAAGGTACCTTTAAAATTAAAGAGTCCTATTCCGATCTCCTCTTTTTCGTATATCGCCATTTCAAGTCTCTCGCTCTTGAGAAGGTATATGGTACAACCGGTTGTACCTAGAAACAGGTACATCCGGGTTGTGCTCATTTTAAAGTAAAGTAGTACTCATTTTCACACAATTATTTCATACAATTATAATACTCATTTACAAATAACATGGTGTTCATTCTGAAACAAAGTGGTACTCATTATCAAATAAAGTAGTGTTCATTCTCAACTAAAATACCATTCATTCATTCCACTTAGTTTAAAATCAATCTCCACCTCTTCTTCTTCTCCCTCACCGAAAAGCTGAATTATTTCCGACTAAAAATTTCCCAAACCCTTCGACTCCCCGTGAAGGCTTCTTCTTCTCCACCATCATCTTCACCATCACCTTCGCATCACCACCATCTTTGCTGCTCCCCCGCTGCTCCTGTACTGCCTTCTTTTTCCGATCAAACACACCTAGGGTTTGACTCAATCACGCTCCATTTCCGCCGGCTGTACTCGATCGAGCTCCACGCTAATTTCCGCCGGCTGTACGGTTCTTCCCGTACAGCCGGCTGTACGATATAATTTGCGCTCGCTCTTCGGCCTGACTAGCTTATTTCAGACTCTCCGCCTCTTAGTTCCAAAAGTTTAGCATCTAATTTTTTGGAGCACCTATCTAAAATGTCTAAAATAACTCTCAAATTTTTTTTTTACCCGTAATAAATTAAATTACATAATGAAATGTATTTTAGACATTTTAAGTAAAAGTAAAAATATTTTAAGGAATATGCAAAAAAATTAAGGGGAAAGTGTTTTCAAGAACTAATAGAGTATTAGTCACGGAGAAAGCTAGAAACAAAAATGCTACACTACACAAGAATACCACAAATGCACCCCAAAATATCTCCACCACACAACTAAGTATTGATATAAAAAAATAACAAATAAATAAAAGCGCATGGTTAGAATGAATGGTGTATAAAAATATCGGTCCGATACAATTCTAAATCGAACTGATATGGTATCGACTGAAAACCAGGCTTTTAAATGGTTCTAATAAATTATATCTCGAACCGAATTGAAGCATTTTCAAAATGGTATGGGATGAGTTTCAAATGATAAATATCAAAAATACTAAACCGTTACCACTAAAGTATTAAACTAATAAATTAATTATACATTTTCATTTGTTATTTTTTAGTAAGTTTATATAATATTTATTTGGGGTGATTTTAACATACTTAAACTTGTATTTTTATAGTATTTAATTAACCCAAAGTACAACTCAAATTATAATTTCACTTGTTTAAAAATCAAACTATAATTATGTTTTGCAAAAAAACTATAACTAAACAATACACTTGTTGAGTAGGAATGCATACAAATATTAGGGAACTAATTTTTTTAATTATGTCGAATGTTTTTATTAAAGAATTACGTCGATTGTTTGTTATAAATAAAAATAATTTTTAAGCGTCGAAGTATTATGGGATGGTTTGGCATTACTATAGCACAGTATCATCTTGTTACCAAACGACATGGTACCGAATGAGTTTAGGGGTAAAACCGAAACCATATCGAACCGTTTGAATAATAACAATATGGTACGGGTTCTTTAAAAATACCAAACCATCACGGAGCGTGACGACCCCTATGTAATATGGGTTGCGGCAGAAAATTAGACATAAATGAAGTAGGGGCTTTTTGGTAAGGTCAAAGTATTTTTCACTTTTATATTAAAAACTGTGTCAAGACAAAACAAGAAGTTTCAACTTGGACAGAAGAAGTATTATTACTGGTATTAATTTTTTTTAAAAATTGTGCCCCTTTTCTTTGGGGGCCCTGCTATTAATTTCGAATGGAGGGAGTATATATTCATAGGGGGAACTCCCTGAATGAAAATTAAAAAAACTATAAAAACACTCTCCTTCTCAAATTTATACTCACAGTTTGACTTTGTAGGGAGTTTAAAAAAAGTGAAATTATATGGTGGAAAGTAATCTAGGTTAGAGGGAATAAAGGTGGGCCACAAAAAGCTTTCCAAAAAAGGAAAGTGAAAGATTAATTTGAGACAACCCAAATAGAAAATAAGAAAAATTAATTTGGGACGAAGGAAGTAGTAAAATGGGAGTTATAAGCCTTTTAAAACCAAATTAGGAATTCATATTGCTACTCTTAACTGTCACACTCATCATATTGTCACACTACAAGTACCACACTATCACTGTTACATTGTCATCTGTCACCCCGGCCACCAAAGTATCGTCGTCGATCACCGACGATTGACTGATTTTACAGCCATATTAGACTATCATCACTTTCAGTTCTCATCACAATGCTATCGCGTATTCTTACATTAGACGGCCATTATATTCATGTTTTCGTCTTAAAAGATTTAAGACTCCTATTTTGGTAATTTCGTACTTTTTGCTTTTATTCAGTCTGTATAGCTTGTAATTTCTGAACGCTCATTCCGTCCTATAATACCTTTCCACTTTTAAAATATAGGAATTTAAGGAATGTATAATTTTGTTGTTACTTTTAAATTTTACGCTATATAGATAAAAGCTGTAGGGTTTTTTGTGAAATTTGAACTAAATAGTACTAAAACATACATCCTTCGTCCTGAAAAACATTTCTGGATTTGACTTTTTGGTGTTTTAAGGAAAATATTTTTTGGTGTTTGACTTTCCAATTTTACATTTTTTTTTTAAAAAAAGAGATGTTTCAAATCATAAATAGTGATTAATAATGTGAAAGAGTAATTAAAAAGTAAAAAGTAACATGAGATGTGATGGATATGGTGTGGGAAAATAGGGTTAAAGAGGGGTATTCTAGTCCATTTTGGAGAAATTGAAATGTTTTATGGAACGAGTAAGATGAGAAAATTGAAATATTTTGTGGGACGGAAGGAATATGTTACTTCTCAATGTAGTACTTGAACTTTTTTATTCCCTAAATAGTACTTAAATAATGCATAGTAGCGAGAATAATGTTCAGTGATGATGGACATTTAGTTTGAACAATGTCCAATGATGGTGGACATTAACTTGAACAATGACCAGTGGACAATGACCAGTGGTACTACATTGGGAAATAAAAACATATGATACTACATTTAGAAACTTACTATGTTTTAGTACTATTTAGATAAATTCATTTTTTTTCATATAACCTACATGACATAGAGAAAAAAGCTGACCTTTTAAGCGCAGTCCAGCAGAGGAAGAGAAGATAAAGTCCCATGAAACCAGAAGTCAAAGAGGAAGAAGAAGAAGTTACATTATTGGCCTTGGTGAGGAAGAGGGCAACGGCTGTGTTGAGGAGGTGGAGAATGAGAGTTGCAGTGATGAAGAAGATGTTAATGGCGCAGGACCGGCGTGGCACAAACCATATGTAGAAGAAGATGATAACCATTATGAAGAATATATGGAGAATTGTCTCAAACATCATCACCGGGCAGCTTCGGTCTTTCGATTCGCACCATTCGCTCACCCTGTTTATGAATCCGTTTATGCTTATCAGCTGGATCACTAGAAACACCCTGCAAATTAATACACATATATATAGTTCAACTTTTTTTTTTGTCAAATTAATCACCTGAATAAGAAAGTAAATAAAATTTGACCCATTGTACGACGTACCCAGTTCCGAAATATGTAATCAAGCCTGTCATGGAGAGGACAAATACAACATATTACTGTCATTTTTCCCAAACAGGTACGATTAGTGACTTAGGATATGTAGTTGTTGGATGTGGTCATGAGATTACCGTAGATGGAAAGAAACTTGATAGGAAGAAAGAATGGAAACACAAGTAGGGCACCCATCATCCCTATCTTTGGAATCCACCACCCAGAGTGCCATTTTTCTCTCCAACTATTCACCTTTGGGATGAATATTGTGGATGCAAACATTATCAAATAGAACATCTACAAAACCATATGTCAAGGTCTATCACGCACTTGTAGAATATAATTGTCACGCCCCGAAACAAAACACCAATATTTATATGGCATTGTCTGTTAATTAGATCGAACAAAAAAAGGATACGCAACATCCCAAGCTGACTCTAAGAACCCCGTCCGTGCCCAAACAATCTTTTCCACCGTTGCATTCATTAAGCCCTAAAACCAAATAACCATACAAACCACGCACCTCATCAATCCTAATAAACACTGTTTTGCATAATCATCAAATGCATAGTAGTATGGAATCGTATATGATACGATATGATATGTTTACTTTTGCTTGCTTTGAAAAAGCTAGAGCCATAGTCACGAACAGCCCAAGCGAGTAAATTTGCAAGAAGAAAGAGCAATCCATAGGCATATCTAGCCATCCATGGATTGCATACATCCCCAAACTGGCCTAGCCAAGACCCGTTCTTGATTTTCTCGTAACGTTTGCCAACATCATCATCATCACTACTACTACTTCCACATCCGATATGCATTTCTCCCGCGCGTATGACTTTAAGTAAATCTCTCTAGCTAGCTAGCTTGTTGTGACGTGTCGCAGAATGATTGCGTTAAAGAAACAATAACCAAAAGCTCAAACTCGTGAAAAATCTGAAACTATAAGTGCTATTTTTTGTACTCTCTAAAGAAATTCAATAATCCTATGTATGTTGTTTTTAGAAGGAATTTGATCAAAACATATATAGTACTCCGTATGTAAAAACTCTTAGCTTGCAAAAACATACATACATACATACATACATACATATATATATATATATATATATATATATATATATATATATATCCCAATTAATTAAAGTTATTAAAGTATGGAATAATCATGAAATTAGTTGTAATTATGAAGGCTAATTAAGTGATGATGAGAGAGAGAGGGAAAAGAAAGAAAACTTTCACTTTTGAATCCAATGTTTTAGTTATACAAAAGCCTCTTACTTTTGCGATCAAAATGTATAAAGTAGAAGTCACTTTTGAATTACAAATGGCAGAGCTGAGTACTTTTTTGATATATAGTGTATTCACTTAAAGTGATAGCTGGCCAAAACGATTTGCCTTTAATTTCCTTATAGTTACTCCAAAAATTTATTGACTAAAAGTAGGGTATGATTGATAGATTCTGTTATACGGAATTCGAGAATAACAATATGAACATGAGAATACGACAATAGATTTACGTGGTTCACCAACGTTGTGTTGGCTACATCCACAAGAAGAGAGGAAGCAGTTATATATATATATATACATACATACATACATACATATATATATATATAGATATATATATATATATATATATATATATATATATATATATATATATATATATATATATATATATATATATATATATATATTGGTTCAGGTGAGAATGCAATCTAATTAAAGAAATAAGAATGAATCTGGTGCATTAGATTGGGAGATCTAAGAATTAGGATTGCATCATAATTAGGTGCATCAAGATGGTTTGAAAATGCATCATGTCGAAATGCACCATAATCCTTTGAAAACGCACTATCTCAAAATTTGAGTGCAGAATGCAATCTGAGCCGCACGATGCATCAGATCCAAAGGCCAGATTTTATTCTTATTTCTTTCACCAAGGTGCATTCTCACTTGAACCAGTCTATATATATATATATATATATATATATATAGTGCTAGGCTACACCCTAATATGCTTGGGTCCAACATACAGAATTGACAGACAATTAGTAGCCCAACAGATTCAAGGCATTACAACAGATTCATAGTAAATAAATATAATGTGATAGATATAAGTTTTGTTCTCCTCAACTTATTTTTTCGACTTATTACTTATTCTTAATGGAATCAGATCAGATTAGAAATAACTTTAAATATAACTACATTCAGATCAAATCAAACCAGATCAGAACTTATTCTAATCAGATCGGGAGAAGAGAACATGACCATAGTAAGAATAAAAAGTAAAAGTTTATTTTTAATAAAAATGTGCAAGACTTTTCAAACGGAGGAGGGATGAATTGAGTCTTACAGTTATATAAACACATAAGTAGTTTCCCGAGTCCAAAAGTTATTTTTATAAAATTCCTTTTTTGTGAGTTATTTTTACCATCTTTTAAGACGAGTGAAAATGGGAGAGAGTTATTTTTAAATGAATGTTTTTAAGAAAAAGTACTTTATTTAAAGTATCTTTTGAATTTACCATGTTTTAATCATGTGAAATACTTTGTGCATTCTTACTAAACATGTCACTTTGCGTATATGACAGGATATTGATAGTTTGTAAAATTTTCAAACGTAGCATCACTCTTTAAACAAATGCAAATCTATGAAAATAGCACTACCAAAAACACGCGTTTTTGTGAAGGAATTTGTGACGTCGTGTAGGCATTTTTTTCCGTTTCAAAATGGCTTGAGACGGATGATGAGCGTGCGTAATCCGGCGTCACAAACACTTTGCGGCGGACTTTTAGGCCTTCACACAATTTGTAACGGTTTTGTCAAGGCGCCATCCTTCACAAAGTGACGTTCGGGTAAACTTTACGTTCCTTACTTTGTGGCGACGAGAACCGTCACAAAGTTTGTCCTGTCATTTTGTGACGGATTTAAGCATCATAAATTTTGAATTTTGAATGTTTTCATTTCCAAACATAGCCGCCACTGCCAAATGTGTGAAGAATTTTGGGATGTTTTTGGCCGTCACAAATTAAGAAAATTTAAAAATTTTATTTTTAGCTTAAAACCGCCACTGCCAACTTTGTGAAGGTGTTGGGGCGATATATCCGTCACAAATTTTATCAATTTTAAAAAAAATTTGTGCGGGCGCCGAAGCGCCCACACGTTTAATTTTTTAAAATTTTTTTTGTATAATTTTTATTTATTTAGAGCTTACAATAACATAAAAACACATAATTAATAAAATTATATAGATCATAATAATGTTTCGCAAACATGCACTGTAAGCAAAAAAATAGTCCATGCCTTGGCAAAATAAAGCTAAGTAATTCAACACATACAAGTCATAACAATGTTCCAATTAACCAAACAAAATGTTTTTCATCAATGAAGGCCTGGGGATTCATTCAGGTACAAGTCCACATCATTTTCTTCATTAGCAAGATTGGGGGTGCTTCTCCTAGGTGTTGAAACAGATGGTCCCCGCATGTGCATCATCATAGGGTTTGTGGGAACAAATCCAAGCATCATTGGTGTTGGGGAATAAAAAAATGCAGGATGATTACCCGAGGTGGGGTTCTGAAACATGGGGTGCATCGAAGGGGATGTAGCGCCATCTTTTCCTGGAATAGTAGCACTTCCCGCCATTGCCTTTCTCACCTCTGCCAAAATATCCTCCTTTTGTTTCTCCAAGCGTGCTTGTACTTCTTTTTCAATTTCATTTTTCCAACGCATCGGAATAGAACTCATCGCCGCACCACCATGACTCTCTGAAGAACCTGATGATATAGTCCATGCTTTAGAACCCATTCCGCACACACGTTTTTTAACTACTCCACCAGCTGCTTCCACGTACGCATCAGTGTCATCCATTTCAGAAGAATCCCCAACGCACTCTTGAGTTTGTTGGCTCTTAATGGTATTATAACGTGTCTAAAAAATTGAATCTTATTAGATATAATAGATATTAAATGAAATTATCTACGGAGTATTTAAAATTGGAAATACCTCAATTTCCAATACTAATGTAGTAGGCTCCCCATCTTGAGAAGTGAAGCAATGCTTCAAGACCTCTATCCTGCTAGGCTTTTTCTTCTCTTTCTTCTCCTGTAAAAAAAAAGAAATTATTAAATAAATAAATTAAAATATTAGATATTAATCTAAAATAAAATATAATTACCATTCTCTCTTCATGTTCAGAAATAGAAATTGAACCACCGTGATACTGTCTTTCTTTTGCTTTCTCAGAGGCCCGACTTTTTTTGCTTTTTTCACTTTTTTCAGAAATTTTTTTGGCAGTTCCCCAATACTCCATCATTTGCTTCCAATCTCCTTCAGCAACAAATTCAGGCCTTGTTTTTTCTTTCCGGTGATGGGCCAAAGTTTTGTTGAGCCAATTTGAACATCGAGTGTGAAAAGCCTTCTTCATTGTTTCATTTTTGTCTTCCCAACAATGTTGATTCTTATAAAAATTATAAAATTAATCATGACTTGCATTGAAAAAAATAAAGTAATTCTCATTTAACATGTAAATTAAAAACCTAGGCACCATAAACAAGCTCCACCATCTATTACGAATTTGTTGTGGAATTTCAGTGTATGTTTTCCAAGGACCATGAAAATTACTTCGTATGATTTCAGTGATTTTGTCCCGCACAAATTTTTTTCTGCCGAAATAAAAAATGACAATCAAATTCAAAAATATAATTTTCATAGCAATCAAAAAATAATTAAACACAGTAGATAAAAAATTACCCAACTAAATCATCCAATGTTATGAAGTTCAATTCTCTTTCAGCAGTAGTTTCCCCTTCCATGCTTTCTCCTCCCCCAACAACCCCAATATCCACAGAGGGAGAGCGACGGCTCTCAAGGGTTGCGGGAGACTCCGCGGTTAGGGGTGTCATGCCACGTTGAAGAGAGCTACTTCGTCCGCCGCGGACACTTGGGCCACGACCTCCTCCTCGACCAGATAGAGAGTGTGACCTTGACATCGACATCTACAACTCCACAAACAACTCTATAAGAATAAATTTAGAAAAATTAGACCACAACTATAACTAAATTGGCATAATTTAAACAAAAAAAGGAATTTACTAGTGGTGAATGTCTTGAGAAAGAAAAAAAAGTACGAAAAGGAATTTGATAAAAAAAGATCTACGAAGAAGATAGGACCGGCTGAAGAGATGAACTCACTCCGCATACACGAAGAAGATCTTAACGTTGGACATATCAACGTTAAGAACATGAACTCACTCCGCATACACATATCTGGGGGCAGATTATATGGTGTGATCATAACTGGCCAACATGAATATTGTGCTCCAAACTGTCCATTTGGTGCAAAGCTGTCTGTGCATAATCCAAGACGAACATTTCTTGGCTCGCATGCAAAGTGAGGATGACATCAATCAAAATGTCTCCAGTGCTCGGAGTCCGATGGGTGGGACATCAAATTACTTTCGGTTTCATGTTCAACATGCCATGTCATGTGTTTGGCAGTCATACTAGACGCATATAGCCGTTGTAATCGTGGAGCGAGAGGAAGATAATGCAACTTGGAAATGGGACGCCTTTTGCGGGATTTTCCTCTCCGTTCACTTTGCGGCGTGTACCTATCAGAACCACAAAACTTGCATTTATCTAGAAACTCGTCACTTTTCCAAAACAACATACACCCAGATGGACAACAATCAATTTTTATTACTGGGAGACCTAATTCAGAAATCATCTTCTTTACGCCATAAAAATCCGTGGGTAGATTATGATCCCGTGGCAACCAGCCCCCTATAGTTTGCAACCATCTAGATACACAAGCTTCGGGAAGATTCCAGTACGACTTTATACTAAGTAATTCTGAC